GATGTGCAGAGCCTGAAATCCCAGAGAACAAATAGGTCTTAAGGTCAAGAATTATGAACTGTAGTGATCCCTAGAAAATATTGCAGGAAGCGGCAAATTTTTTTTTGAGCAGTAGAATAGGAGGGAAGACGGAAGATACTTAACACCGGGAGACACAATCAAGTAGAAAACAGCTAAAAGCATACTTTGTCAGCCCATGCCTTTTCCATTAGTCTATTCCCTCTAGCAGTACCCAGGGCTGCCTTGAAGAATCTCTTCTTTCTCACAATGGACACATGCCCCCTGGCCCCCCTGGCATATAGTGACCGAGAGTGTTTCTTTTTGCATAACCTCTATATTAGGGCTCCTCTAGGACATGCTGAAGGGGAAGACTGGTTTAACAGCAGCAGGTTTTTTTGTTTTTATTATACCTGCCACAGGTTCTCTTTAAAATGGACCTTGCAAGAATAATAATTAAAAAAAACATCTGTTTTAAATGTAGAGTGCATGGAACCATATGATCCGTGCAGCTTATCAATGCCAGCATTTAGAAAATGCCTAAGGGTTGGTAAAACACAGAGTAGGGTGCCTAATAGGTGGTACCGACTCGCACCAAGTACCTGCCTATTTGGATGGGTCTGATGGTGCGTATTTATCCAAACCATACAACCACGGGCCAAATGTCCCCACAACTAGATAACATTTGATGCCTTTCTACATCCAGAGTCCGTGTAAACATAGCCTCTTACGAAAGCTCATTTACACCAGACATTTTACTCTGCTGCTCTTGTAAAAGGCTTTTCTTTGATGGGGCCAATTTTCTGTAAAGACTTCAGGAGGCAGGAAAGGAACAAACAGGGAAATTCTCTTCCAGCGCTCTGAACATTCAACTATGGTCTCTCTATAATACAATTTACCCTGCAAAACCAAGGCAGGTGCACTACCAACTCCCATAGGCAGCTATACTGTGATGGAAATGGTCTTTCTGATGATCTGATGAAAGGTCCACTGGGTTTTTGATCTCATTTTAACACAGGGCTAAAAGCAATGATAAGTGGTAACCCGCAGAGCCCAACTTCAGCAGCTTCAAGTGTACATTCTAGCAAAAACAAGTCGCTATGGTTAACAGGACTTTCATGTACCATTGCTGAAAATAAAGTCATTGATGTTCTATGGGCAAGAGCTTATCCTTGTAGCAGCAGAGCAAGAGAATATACTGAATCCTGTACCTTAACCTTTGCAGATTGGGCTTACTGGTCCTATTGAGCAGTCTTCAGGTACAAAGAGTCAGCAGAGAAGATATTCATGAGCTTGAGAGAAAATACACCTGATTTATAGAGCTTTTGCCCATAGCAGCTATATTCATCTTTCAAAGCTAAAAAAAAAGGCTGGCTACTATGGATCTCTGCACTTTGACCCAGCTTTTCTTAGCCTCAAATTTTCATAAACCTCTGCCAAAAAGACCAAGTAATGAGA